ACGTGGATGCAATGCAAGCAAATTGAAAGGAGATAAATGGTTCCATCGCCCTTCATGGCTGAGACTTAAAGAAACAGAATGGAATAATGATAAAGGTTTCAGCTCTTTGAATAGCGAAAACTTGGACGATGAAATTCGTATAGAGAAACGAAACAAACCCGTGAACATCAACATGAATGTTTGCAAGGAAGAAAGCCAGTCTGATATTATGAATGTCATAAATAAAATTTCATCATGGACTAAATTGCTAAGAGTTTTTGCCTGGTGTAGAAGATTTACTCTAAATTGCAAGTTTCCAGCTGCAAAGGCTAGTGGTTGTTTAAGAACTGCAGAGATTCAGAATACTAGAAATTCCCTTGTGAAGATGGTTCAAAATTATGCTTTTGGTACTGAAATGAAATATCTGCAGAAGGAGAAGACACTTCCAAAAAGTAGCAATCTGTTACCTTTGGCACTCTTCCTTGACTCATCCGGATTTCTCCGAGTTGGTGGAAGATTGAAGAATTCCAATCTTTCTGACTGTCGAAAACATCCAATACTTCTCCCAAAGGGTCATCATTTATCAACGATAATTGTGAGATATTTTCATGAAATCCATCTACATGGAACTATTCAAATGGCATTATCAGCATTAACCCAAGAATATTGGATAATTGGTGTCAAGAATCTTGTCAGAAAGATAATTTCCAGGTGTGTAAAATGTCATAGACAAAATGCTAAATTTTTGACACAATTTATGTCTGATTTACCTTCCGTAAGAGTCACACCTTCCCGAGTTTTCTCTGTTGTTGGAACTGATTACGATGGACCTTTCCTAGTGAAGCCCAGAAAAGGAAGAGGTGTGAAGACTATGAAATGCTATGTTTGTTTATTTGTGTGTTTATTCACAAAAGCCGTTCACTTAGAACTCGTTAGTGATCTAACTTCTGATGCTTTCCTTGCCACGTTAAGAAGATTTAATTCTCGACGAGGAAAACCTGATCAGATACACAATGACTGTGGGACTAATTATGTTGGTGCATATAGAGAGTTGAAACGTTTAATTGCATCACTCTCTTCAGATGAAAGATTTCAGGGTTATCTTGCAAAGGAAAATATCATTTGGAAATTCAATCCTCCTGCGGCACCTCATCACAGTGGATTGTGGGAATCCACTGTCAAATCTATGAAGTCTCACCTTAAAAAAACTGTCGGTGAACAAATCCTCACCTACGAAGAATTCCTAACCCTAATTGCTGAAGTAGAAGCTTGCCTTAATTCTCGACCACTCACTCCTTTGTCTGATGATCCTGCTGATTGTGAGGCATTGACGCCTGGTCATTTCCTCATTGGTACTTCACTGACATCAGTGCATAATTCTGATCTTTCAAATGAAGTGATAACACCTTTACAACGATGGAAGTTAATGCAAAGAATGATCCAAGAATTCTGGAAGCGGTGGTCAACTGACTATCTTTCCACTCTTCAAAGGCGTCCTAAATGGCTCCAAGTAAAGAGAAATCTTGCTGTAAATGAACTGGTGCTAATCGAAGACGATGATTTGCCACCATTGAAGTGGAAGTTGGGACGTGTGCTAGAGACCTTTCCAGGAGCAGACGGTAAAATCAGAGTGGTGAGGTTAAAAACTGCAAATGGAGAGTTAAAACGTCCTATTGTTAAACTTTGCCCACTACCAATAATAGACTTCAAACATTGAACTCATACGAACTTTGAACTCTTAATTAAAATTTTCTGTCAATTCAAAATTTTATAATGGCTTAATATTTGTCTTTTAGTGCATTTCATTTGATTAATTTTGTTTATTGTTTGATTACGATTCACATATATTTCATATAAGTTTGTTTTAATTTTTATGTACAGATTCTTAAACTGAAAATTTTCAGTAATTGATTTATTGCTACATTACTTTTGAAATTAAAGTTTGAATGAATGTAATAACATTTTATGAACCCCCTAAGTGTTCATAGTGGGGGAGGATGTTTCTGTTTAAAGAATTGTGTGCTGCCATCTATATTTCAATTTAAAATGTCACGTGATTAGTAAATGTTTCATGCAGTTTAGTTCGCTTTAAAATGTCGTACAAATAGGTATTGTGTTTGTCGTGTTAGTATTTTGTGTATGTTTATATTTTGTGTTCGTCATTAAATTATGTCAGTTCTAAGGGGTCGTTAGTTTCAATTATTTAGTAACCAGTTGCCATTTGAAAATTTAGAAATTTTGTCACTGTAAATTTACCGGTTAGAGCTTCATTTTTGAGCACACAGTACTATATACAAAATTCATTGAGCAAAATCTGCTGTTGTACAAATTTGTGTTTTCTATGACATCATTTACAAAAGAAATTCTACGAAAAATAAACTTCCTCCTGATTAACAAAAAAAAAATTCTGACGGATTCGAGAAAAATGGAAGTTTTATCATAGCAGTTTGAAGTTAAGAGAGATGAGTTATGATACTCGTCATTAAGTACGAGAAGTTGTAAAAGAGTTGATGTTCAACGCAGTCTGGTGGAGAATAGGCAGTTAACTATAGTTTGTCTAAAGCAAGAACTTCCTTATCCATTCGTCTGGACCCATGTCGGTGACTATGGTAACGAAGTATAACTATTTCAAGTAGGGGTGTTTGGCCACTGTTTAGAACTGGTTTCGGGTCGGCGAGAGAAAGGGAATATTTTTCTTCGGTTTATTGTGTTAACCCTATAGTGAAGAGAAGCTACCCTCTCAGAAATGCGCTATTCTTGTTTCCATAACAGCAGACGCCCTCAGACTTTTTGGCGGGGGGAGTTCTTACTGAAGACAAACTATAAACAACCATTGCGTATAGATGGTTAACTGAATGCAAACAATAATAAGCTTCCAAAAGCTGGGAAAAAATAGAAAACTTCGTGTGTATCCCTCCGCTTATGTTATGCTTATGAGGCGAAGTGTGAACAGACTTAATATTCTTGGAAGTTTTATTATTGTGACTTGTGATTAAATTTAAGTGTAATTTTATAATTCATAAGAGTTCCTATAACTTAGAAATTCTAACTGGTTGTGAGCTATTTGAAACTAATTTTTAAAAAAAATTTATATCAAAACATAAATAAAGTGTAAGATTTGCTATGCTTTGAGAGTTATCCCTTATTTGGCTATATTTGTGTAAAATATCACCGCTTTATACTTTTTGGGTGGCATCCTAGCATACTTGCGAAGTCTTCCGAATTCATTTGTTGTTTGTTTCGTTGAAATTTAAATAGAAAGAATGTGTTATATTGTAAACACTATTAGTATAATGATATTGGATGGCTTTTTCAATTTCAGACGTAAAAGTCAATCGGAAATAGTAACCCGAAAGACTTACGACATATTTTAACCCCTAGCGCCATCTGTGTTTAGCTTTATACGAGCAACCATCCACATGGTGACGTAAGTTCTCATTGGAATTTTAACTTCGTCTAACAGGGGTCGAAATGACGTGTTATTTCCAACACTTTTTGGAGGCGGCTGGTATAACAGTTGTACCCAGTCTTCTTTTTTATTGAAATAAAAGTATTTGATAAATGAGAGACAAATAATATTTTTATAAAACTATATTCGCTTTGTCTTCAACCTAATAAAAATTGTCTCTTACACAGGAAATACTTTTTTAAACTAAAAAATAACTTAGGTACAACTGTTGTACCAGCCGTCCCCAAAAGATTTTTTAAAAAAAAACCTGAAACTGGGTTGGGTGGGGAGTGCTTGACATTGAAAGAATTCGTTTCTACTAAGTACTGTTAAAAATTAATCTGGTTATCCAGATTATTTAGATAGAATTATTACTTTAGTAATTTACTTTACCCTTGTTACTAGTATCGGGACAAATGATTGATTCTATTAATAATCCGAAAAATGAAGAGGATATGATAAAACGATACAATTTATTTGTTAGCCTGCAACTGTAAAATAATGTTTAGGTTTCAGGCATCAACTTGTGTTTTATTCGGTCTAACAGAAAATATTCTCTTAAGAGTCGCTGACGAATACAATAAAAAATAAATGAAAAATAACAAAAATTTAAAATACGATTCACTACAGAATGAAGAAAATTGTGACAGCCGCAAGGCGATCACAGGTTACCCATTGCCAAAATGGCTGTTGTCTAATTTTTTTTTTGGAAAAGAAACTTTATTGTGTTTTTATCTTGGATATCTTTGACTGTTAATCCTGAACTGCTCGGTACACCATTTCGCAGATATATTTAAATACAGCTCAAACACATTCTGCGTAAATTCTCCTGATGACTGAATAGACATCGAACAGCCGATCGAGATCAATATTAACATTTTCGTATGGGTACAATGGTGTTTGATGGAGATTGTAAGCTGCATCATACACCCGTTTCGGATTCACAAGTTCATACATGAAATATGATATGAAAGCTAGACTTTTTTCCAATTTTACATGAATGGTGAATTAATCATTTATATTCCACGATCCAGACAATCCACGGTCTTGTGCAAGTTATTGGGTACTTTGAGAATGGATCCTTTTATCCCTAACAGGTGACCCATCTACATTTGTTGTTTGGTGAACCACCTCCTCAATGTAACACTTGTGATGTTTTACTTTCGATTTACCATATTTTAATTACTTTGCCCGTATTTTAACAGACATCGTCTTGCCTTTTTTGGCAGTTCTATTTTATCTATGGGAGATTTGTTAGGTGACTCCCATCATCCGAACATTTTTGCATTTTTACGTGCTATTGGCATTTTAAATTGTATATAAGTTTATTCTGTTCATGAATTTATTCATTTTTAGAAGGATATTCTTACTTTTATACTATTTTACTGTGTTTTAACTTTGACGTGATTTTATTCCAATATTACTGTTGATTGTTTGTATATGATTTTATAAATTTTTAATTATATTTAGAAAAATAAGTATGCACTTCAATTTTGACCTGTATAAACATATTGTTTGGCGCAGCATGTCCACATTTGGATTTTGTGCCATTAAACTCTACATTCAATCAATCAATCAACCCTAACAGGTGATCAACAACCAATTCTCGTATTTGCATGAAATGAGTTCGGAGAATCACCATTCGCTTTTCGGTAGGGTTCAATTCTCTCAACCACTTTCGTACTTTTGTGAGGGACGGGCTTCAGGCTTGCGTTTGCGAACGGAATCCTTTCGTTTTTCCGTTTGTGTGTAACGCTTAATGTATTCCCGTCTACGTTCTTTGGCTTTAGCTTTTTCAGCCTCGGTAAGTTGAGGCCTTGGCATCGTTTTCTTTTTCTTGCTTCAACTCTAATTTTTGGAATCGTGTCAATCAGTTTGGACTCTCTTTATTTGTGATATTCACCTGAATTAGTATTGAATACGATCCAGTTTGAACTGTAACTTAGAATTTCTGATTCCAGGGTTAATTGTGAACCCAAGTCAAAATTCCGGAAAATTTCTTGAGTTTAAAAAAAAAAAAATAAAAATAAAAAATTTAAATTGAAAAATTAGAAAAACATTCAAATAAGGTTTTTTTCTCAACATTTCTTAGTTTACTTAAAATATATATTTAAAATTTTACACATACCTATACCATTTATACATACCTATGATGACCTGGAGAAGTAATTAAAATTTACAAATATGTCTCTCTTTCTTGAGTTTATGATTATAACAACTATTTACAGATAAAAAATCAATATTAATCATGAATATAAGTTTATAAAGTATCTCTCTGGCTCTCCCTTACAAACAAATAAAATAAACTGTGTTTTTAAGTTCCACCTTTGAAAATTTGTGATCAATGAATTTTTGAAACGTCTGGACCTTCAATTTCCGGAAACTTCCGGATCACTGTTAGCAAAAATTCTGGAAATCCGGATTTTTTCCGGAGCACAATCAGCCCTGTGATTCCTTATTAAAACAATAAAAACAAAAATATCGATCAAATGATGAAATTATCTTTTATTCACAACTCAACAAGTCTCTCTGGTCCCATATCTCAAAAATAAACTCACCCACTTAATGCATAACAAAATTAAAAGCGAAAAAAATAATTCTAAAAAAAATTATCATACAGCAGCGGTCGCCATAGCAACGCATGCGCACTGTTTACTAATACTCTTGATTAATGCAGTTGAAAAGTGCGGACGCCATGAAATTCAAACGAAGATGGGTAAAAATTTTAAAATTTAATAAGAATATATTTCCTCGTGTATATACGAAAGCGCAAAAAAATCAATGCATTTTTCGGTCCTTCCGTTTTTATTAAATTAATTTCGATTAGCAAATATCTTTTCATCCGTTTTAGTAGTTTCGTTTTACGCCTACAAATATGCTGGTATTTCGAAGGCAAGAAAAATCCTTTCTTAATAAAGAAAAAGAATTTTGTATTTTGAAAATTTTCAATATTTCAACTATATATTTTTTTTAAAATTTCGAATCACTTAGCTAATGCTCCGTATGAATATTGTATGGAGTTTAAGAAATACACTTAAAATAAAAATCTTTCCTTAGTTCTCAATTAAAAAAAAAGATTAAAATATTTACTTTCTTAAAAGTTTAATTTTGATTTAAATTACTTTTCGGTTATTTGCGTTTCTTATAGTTTTTTTAAGTAATTATTTCATTGAAGATGTATCATTGAGATTTTTTAATACAACCCATTAAGTGCAATTCCTCAAATAATACAGTTGAACAAAGAAATTATTAGTGATAATCTCAAATCG